AGAGGGGCCATGTTTTAGGAGCGAGCAGACGTGGCAGCAGAGGAAGGGGTCGAGGCAGCACTAGTCGCAGCCAGAGGCCAGTGCTCCCGGTGTCATCCAGCGGTCGTGTCTCCACCAACAAATTGCCGTCATCGATTGGTTGGCTCGGTCGTCTTCCTCTTCCCAGGTCACCTCTGACACCTACAGCCAACGGTCGGTGGGTACGTCAGACACAACCGTTAGTTGGCATGGCCCGGGAGCAAGCCCACTGAAATCACGTGTCCTCTACCTGCCCCTGTCCTTTGGTGTTCCCTCACACCAAGCGAAGTATCGCATGCTGTGGGTTCAGCCCCACTGTACAGTGAGGAAGAGCTAACAGAGGGCGGTCAGGAACGGGGGGAGACATCCGCCTCTTCAGCAGCCAGGCGAAGAAGTACTGGCGAGGAGAGAGTGGCTCGGTAGCCGGTCTAGAGACAGGTCTGTCTCCTGACCCACACGCAGCCGAGGGGGCTAGTAGTGAGGCGGAGACCCTAATTGATGATGATGAGGCTGATCGCACTTGGCAGCCTCGTCGTCATCAGGCTATTGCTTCCGCATCATCAGGAGAAGAGGGTGCCAGCTTGGCAGCGAGCAAAACAGTCGGTGGGTTGCCCAGGAGGCAGCAGGGTCGCAGCAGTGTCAGTGGAGGCAAACGGCCACGGAGTAGAGCACCAGCTCCACTGCAGCCTACCACAGGACACAGCCAGTAGTGGTGCCGGTGTGCACGGAGGAAGTAGCAGTCAGCCAGTGAGGAGTAGCGGGGGCAAAGTTTCCTACTTGGCGGTGTGGCAATTTTTTTTCAAGCCGCCCGAGGAAGTAAACGTAGCCGTATGTCGACTATGTGGCCAGAAAGTCAAGCGTGGCCAGGGGGCCCATGTTGGGACTACAGCGTTGCGTCAGCATATGCAGCGTCGCCATTCGGTGGCCTGGGGAAAACCGTGATAAAGATACGGCGGTTCTGCCTGCCCCAGCCCCCGCTCCATCACCCGCTCCGTTACTTGCTCCGTCACCCGACATCAATCGCCCTCTATCAGCTTTATCAGTCAAGGCTCCAACACCTCTGCTGAGGGGAGTTGTCGCTCGTTGGCATCTTCCGCTCGTTCAGATGCTCCTTCTCCTGCTACTCCTCTTCACGGATTCCGTCAGCAGTCTTTCTTGGAATCCATTTCCAAGAGACAACAGTTTGCGAGCACGCACCCGACGGTGCAGAAGCTGAACGTCCTCCTGTCCAAGTTGCTGGTGCTGCAGTCCCTCCCTTTCCAAGTGGTGGACTCAGCACCTTTCCGAGAAATGATGGCTTGTGCCGAGCCGCGGTGGAGAGTGCCAAGCCGGCATTTCTTCACCAAAAAGGCAGTGCCAGCCCTGCATTCACATGTAGAAGAGATGGTGGGCCAGTCTTTGAGCATGTCGGTCTCTGCCAAAGTGCACGGCAGCGCCGACGTGTGGAGCTGTAACTACGGTCAGGGACAGTACATGTCATTTACGGCCCACTGGGTGAACGTGGTGCCGGCACAGCCGCACCAGCAACTTGGACAGGTCACGCCGCTTTTGCCTCCACGTTTGCACGTCCTTGGTCCAGCAAAGATGTCCGCCTCTACCACCTCTTCTTCCGCCGTGTCCTCAGCCGCCACCCCCGTGCCAAGTCCCATTACCCGACCGGCATATCACATGTGCAGGGCGCAACGGTATGCCTTGGCGAAACGTAGTCACACAGGGGAGGAACTTCTGAGTGTAATGAACAGAGAAATCGACAGATGGCTGTCTCCGCGCAAACTGAAAATCGGAACCATGTTGACCGACAACGGAAAGAACATGGTGTCTGCTCTGCGTCAAGGAAGGTTGTGCCATGCGCCATGCATGGCTCACGTGTTCAATCTGGTTGTCAAGCGGTTCCTAAAATCCACCATCCCACTGCAAGACATCCTTAAAATGTCACGTAAACTTTGCATGCATTTCAGCCATTCCTACACCGCAAAGCACACCCTCCTTGAGCTGCAGCGGCAGAACGGAGTTCCACAGCATCGCCTGATCTGCGACGTTGCAACAAGGTGGAATTCAACCCTACATATGTTAGACCGCCTTTACGAACAGCGAAAGGCCATCACCGATTTCCTGATGTTACAAGCGGATAAAGGTACTCCCCTGTGTAACTTAGATGTCAGCCATTGGCAGCTCATGCGTGACACCTGACGCTTGCTCAGGCCCTTTGAGGAGGCCACGCTATTCGTGAGTCGGCAGGACTATGGGATGAACGACTTCATTCCTCTGTTGCACGTCCTGGAACAAATGCTGTTAACAATGGCTGGTCAGGGTGCGGTAGACGTGGCGCACAGATCTCAACGCCACATGACCCCTGTGGGGGCAGGACAGGAAGAAGAGGAGGAGGGTAGAGGAGGACATTGGTGCTCAGGAATTATTGAGTGAAATGGGTGTTTTTCCACTCAGCGGACAGGAGTGGAGGAGCAGGAGCATCTGGTAGAGGAGGAGGAGGAGGAGACAGAGGACCCAGACGCACCGTGGCAGTATGCTGTGGAGATGGAGGCAGGGAGTCCCTCGCCTTCCTTGGCACAAATGGCCCATAGCATGCTCGGTTGCTTGCGTAGCGACAGCCGAATAATAACCATCAGACAGAGGGATAACTTTTGGCTGTCCACCTTGTTGGACCCTCGCTACCGTTCAAAAATGGTGGCCTTTTTCACACCTGCTGAGAGGGAGGCCAAAATAACGTACTATAAAAACCACCTATGTAGTTAGTTGGTCTCTGCCTTTCTGCGCCAATGTCCATCCTCAGACACTGTGGGCCCTGTGCGCTCGCATTCCGCTGCCATGGCAGCAGGGGAGGGGTGGGGTGGTAGGAGCAGTGGCAGCTCCACCAGCAGCAGCTGCCTCAGTCTGCAGTCGATGATGAGTAGCTTTCTTCACCAGCGCAGTGAGGAAACTACTAACCAGCCGCAGCAGCAGCAGCATCAGGTGGACCTGGAGCAGGACCTCAAACAACAGGCTCGGGCCTACTTGGACAGCACCCTGCCAACCGAGGTAGACAATCCCCTTGACTACTGGGCAACGAAACTTGACCTTTGGCCCCAACTAGCTGAATTTGCCCTTGAAAGGCTGTCATGCCCGGCCAGTAGTGTGGCATCGGAGCGCGTGTTTAGTGCGGCAGGAGGTATTGTAACTCCGCGGAGGACACGACTGTCCACCCAAAGTGTGGAGAGACTCACGTTTGTGAAAATGAATCAGGCGTGGATTAGTCTGGATTTCAAACCACCAGTTCCTGACACAACTGACTAAATCCGCCATGAATCATGCCCCAAACATGTTAACTCTGCCATGTGCCACTTTCAAGTCTCCTCACACTGCTGGTGGGTTCCATTTTGTCATAGGGTGCTGGCAGATTACGGGCCTCCCATTGCTGCTGCCAGGCCCGTAATCTGTCATGGGCCCCTGTACCGCCTCCTCATGCTGCTGCCAGGTCCAGAGTCTCTCATGGGTCCCTGTACGGCCTCCCATTTGCTGTCTCCATCGCCACACTCTGCCATGTGCCACTTTCAGGTCTCCTCACACTGCTGGTGGGTTCCATTTTGTCATAGGGTGCTGGCAGATTACGGGCCTCCCATTGCTGCTGCCAGGCCCGTAATCTGTCATGGGCCCCTGTACCGCCTCCTCATGCTGCTGCCAGGCCCGTAATCTGTCATGGGTCCCTGTACGGCCTCCCATTGCTGCTGTCTCCATCGCCACACTCTGCCATGTGCCACTTTCAGGTCTCCTCACACTGCTGGTGTGTTCCATTTTGTCATAGGGTGCTGGCAGATTACGGGCCTCCCATTGCTGCTGCCAGGCCCGTAATCTGGGCCCCTCCGCCTCCTCATGCTGGTCCCTCATGGGTCCCTGGCCTCCCATTGCTGCTGTCTCCATCGCCACACTCTGCCATGTGCCACTTTCAGGTCTCCTCACACTGCTGGTGTGTTTCCATTTTGTCATAGGGTGCTGGCAGATTACGGGCCTCCCATTGCTGCTGCCAGGCCCGTAATCTGCCATGGGGCCCCTGTACCGCCTCCTCATGCTGCTGCCAGGTCCAGAGTCTCTCATGGGTCCCTGTACGGCCTCCCATTGCTGCTGTCTCCATCGCCACACACTCTGCCATGTGCCACTTTCAGGTCTCCTCACACTGCTGGTGGGTTCCATTTTGTCATAGGGTGCTGGCAGATTACGGGCCTCCCATTGCTGCTGCCAGGCCCGTAATCTGCCATGGGCCCCCGTACCGCCTCCTCATGCTGCTGCCAGGTCCAGAGTCTCTCATGGGTCCCTGTACGGCCTCCCATTGCTGCTGTCTCCATCGCCACACTCTGCCATGTGCCACTTTCAGGTCTCCTCACACTGCTGGTGGGTTCCATTTTGTCATAGGGTGCTGGCAGATTACGGGCCTCCCATTGCTGCTGCCAGGCCCGTAATCTGCCATGGGCCCCCGTACCGCCTCCTCATGCTGCTGCCAGGTCCAGAGTCTCTCATGGGTCCCTGTACGGCCTCCCATTGCTGCTGTCTCCATCGCCACACTCTGCCATGTGCCACTTTCAGGTCTCCTCACACTGCTGGTGGGTTCCATTTTGTCATAGGGTGCTGGCAGATTACGGGCCTCCCATTGCTGCTGCCAGGCCCGTAATCTGCCATGGGCCCCCGTACCGCCCTCCTCATGCTGCTGCCCCGGTCCAGAGTCTCTCATGGGTCCCTGTACGTACCCTCCCATTGCTGCTGTCTCCATCGCCACACTCTGCCATGTGCCACTTTCAGGTCTCCTCACACTGCTGGTGGGTTCCATTTTGTCATAGGGTGCTGGCAGATTACGGGCCTCCCATTGCTGCTGCCAGGCCCGTAATCTGCCATGGGCCCCCGTACCGCCTCCTCATGCTGCTGCCAGGTCCAGAGTCTCTCATGGGTCCCTGTACGGCCTCCCATTGCTGCTGTCTCCATCGCCACACTCTGCCATGTGCCACTTTCAGGTCTCCTCACACTGCTGGTGGGTTCCATTTTGTCATAGGGTGCTGGCAGATTACGGGCCTCCCATTGCTGCTGCCAGGCCCGTAATCTGTCATGGGCCCCTGTACCGCCTCCTCATGCTGCTGCCAGGTCCGTAATCTGTCATGGGTCCCTGTACGGCCTCCCATTGCTGCTGTCTCCATCGCCACACTCTGCCATGTGCCACTTTCAGGTCTCCTCACACTGCTGGTGGGTTCCATTTTGTCATAGGGTGCTGGCAGATTACGGGCCTCCCATTGCTGCTGCCAGGCCCGTAATCTGCCATGGGCCCCCGTACCGCCTCCTCATGCTGCTGCCAGGTCCAGAGTCTCTCATGGGTCCCTGTACGGCCTCCCATTGCTGCTGTCTCCATCGCCACACTCTGCCATGTGCCACTTTCAGGTCTCCTCACACTGCTGGTGGGTTCCATTTTGTCATAGGGTGCTGGCAGATTACGGGCCTCCCATTGCTGCTGCCAGGCCCGTAATCTGCCATGGGCCCCCGTACCGCCTCCTCATGCTGCTGCCAGGTCCAGAGTCTCTCATGGGTCCCTGTACGGCCTCCCATTGCTGCTGTCTCCATCGCCACACTCTGCCATGTGCCACTTTCAGGTCTCCTCACACTGCTGGTGGGTTCCATTTTGTCATAGGGTGCTGGCAGATTACGGGCCTCCCATTGCTGCTGCCAGGCCCGTAATCTGCCATGGGCCCCCGTACCGCCTCCTCATGCTGCTGCCAGGTCCAGAGTCTCTCATGGGTCCCTGTACGGCCTCCCATTGCTGCTGTCTCCATCGCCACACTCTGCCATGTGCCACTTTCAGGTCTCCTCACACTGCTGGTGGGTTCCATTTTGTCATAGGGTGCTGGCAGATTACGGGCCTCCCATTGCTGCTGCCAGGCCCGTAATCTGCCATGGGCCCCCGTACCGCCTCCTCATGCTGCTGCCAGGTCCAGAGTCTCTCATGGGTCCCTGTACGGCCTCCCATTGCTGCTGTCTCCATCGCCACACTCTGCCATGTGCCACTTTCAGGTCTCCTCACACTGCTGGTGGGTTCCATTTTGTCATAGGGTGCTGGCAGATTACGGGCCTCCCATTGCTGCTGCCAGGCCCGTAATCTGCCATGGGCCCCCGTACCGCCTCCTCATGCTGCTGCCAGGTCCAGAGTCTCTCATGGGTCCCTGTACGGCCTCCCATTGCTGCTGTCTCCATCGCCACACTCTGCCATGTGCCACTTTCAGGTCTCCTCACACTGCTGGTGGGTTCCATTTTGTCATAGGGTGCTGGCAGATTACGGGCCTCCCATTGCTGCTGCCAGGCCCGTAATCTGCCATGGGCCCCCGTACCGCCTCCTCATGCTGCTGCCAGGTCCAGAGTCTCTCATGGGTCCCTGTACGGCCTCCCATTGCTGCTGTCTCCATCGCCACACTCTGCCATGTGCCACTTTCAGGTCTCCTCACACTGCTGGTGGGTTCCATTTTGTCATAGGGTGCTGGCAGATTACGGGCCTCCATTGCTGCTGCCAGGCCCGTAATCTGCCATGGGCCCCTGTACCGCCTCCTCATGCTGCTGCCAGGTCCAGAGTCTCTCATGGGTCCCTGTACGGCCTCCCATTGCTGCTGTCTCCATCGCCACACTCTGCCATGTGCCACTTTCAGGTCTCCTCACACTGCTGGTGGGTTCCATTTTGTCATAGGGTGCTGGCAGATTACGGGCCTCCCATTGCTGCTGCCAGGCCCGTAATCTGCCATGGGCCCCCGTACCGCCTCCTCATGCTGCTGCCAGGTCCAGAGTCTCTCATGGGTCCCTGTACGGCCTCCCATTGCTGCTGTCTCCATCGCCACACTCTGCCATGTGCCACTTTCAGGTCTCCTCACACTGCTGGTGGGTTCCATTTTGTCATAGGGTGCTGGCAGATTACGGGCCTCCCATTGCTGCTGCCAGGCCCGTAATCTGCCATGGGCCCCTGTACCGCCTCCTCATGCTGCTGCCAGGCCCAGAGTCTGTCATGGTCCCTGTACGGCCTCCCATTGCTGCTGTCTCCATCGCCACACTCTGCCATGTGCCACTTTCAGGTCTCCTCACACTGCTGGTGGGTTCCATTTTGTCATAGGGTGCTGGCAGATTACGGGCCTCCCATTGCTGCTGCCAGGCCCGTAATCTGCCATGGGCCCCCGTACCGCCTCCTCATGCTGCTGCCAGGTCCAGAGTCTCTCATGGGTCCCTGTACGGCCTCCCATTGCTGCTGTCTCCATCGCCACACTCTGCCATGTGCCACTTTCAGGTCTCCTCACACTGCTGGTGGGTTCCATTTTGTCATAGGGTGCTGGCAGATTACGGGCCTCCCCCCCGTTGCTGCTGCCAGGCCCGTAATCTGCCATGGGCCCCCGTACCGCCTCCTCATGCTGCTGCCAGGTCCAGAGTGTCTCATGGGTCCCTGTACGGCCTCCCATTGCTGCTGTCTCCATCGCCACACTCTGCCATGTGCCACTTTCAGGTCTCCTCACACTGCTGGTGGGTTCCATTTTGTCATAGGGTGCTGGCAGATTACGGGCCTCCCATTGCTGCTGCCAGGCCCGTAATCTGCCATGGGCCCCCGTACCGACTCCTCATGCTGCTGCCAGGCCCGTAATCTGCCATGGGCCCCCGTACCGCCTCCTCATGCTGCTGCCAGGTCCAGAGTGTCTCATGGGTCCCTGTACGGCCTCCCATTGCTGCTGTCTCCATCGCCACACTCTGCCATGTGCCACTTTCAGGTCTCCTCACACTGCTGGTGGGTTCCATTTTGTCATAGGGTGCTGGCAGATTACGGGCCTCCCATTGCTGCTGCCAGGCCCGTAATCTGCCATGGGCCCCCGTACCGACTCCTCATGCTTCAGGTCTCCTCACACTGCTGGTGGGTTCCATTTTGTCATAGGGTGCTGGCAGATTACGGGCCTCCCATTGCTGCTGCCAGGCCCGTAATCTGCCATGGGCCCCCGTACCGCCTCCTCATGCTGCTGCCAGGTCCAGAGTGTGTCATGGGTCCCTGTACGGCCTCCCATTGCTGCTGTCTCCATCGCCACACTCTGCCATGTGCCACTTTCAGGTCTCCTCACACTGCTGGTGGGTTCCATTTTGTCATAGGGTGCTGTATGGCCTCCCATTGCTGCTGCCTCCACCGCCACACTGTGGCTCCACACTCTGGTTTTGGCCCCGTGACTGCCCAAATGAGTGAAGTGTGCGGTGATTCTAAGATCGACGGCACTCATCTGCATGTCATACTGACTGACAGTATTTATTTCTCTTCCCCAGCAGACTCCAAGGGCATTTAAATTAAGGGTACAGTGTTCTGCACTAATATAAAGGCTCTCTGAAGCCTAGAAACACCCTTTTATAAGTTAAATTCGCAGCGAATATATTTGCATTGAATCGAATTTATTCCTCGAATTCGCCGAATCAGCCGAATCGAATTTTTGAATACTTCGCTCTCATCAGTCTCTATTTATAACAAATACAGCCAGGTATGAGGCTCCCTGTTCAGTTTATATACCAGGTCTGGTGGCTTGTGAGTTCTACATGCCTAAATATTGCACGTGACACTGCACATCCAAGTATTACTTAACCTCCCTAGCGGTCTGATTATGTCCATATTTCTGCGCTCAAAGCGGTACATTTTTTTTGCATGGAAATATGTATTTTTTTTTTCTAGGCCTGTATGGTTTAGGAATAACTCACTGAAATCTGTCTGAACAAGAGTCTAGTAAACATCCCGGGTAGGATAAAGCTTGAAACACGAAATCATAAATTATATTTTAATAAATAATCATAAAAAAAATAATAATATAATAAATTTAATTCAATAATATAATCAAACCAAAAACACTGAAATTTGAAATAAAGTGCCAAGTTCGCACATCACTGAGCAAAGTTTTTCAGTGTCTAATGACGAATTTCCTCACAAATCATTATCACTCGATTCTGCAAGTGGTTCTAATTTACTATCGCTGTTCTCTAGCTGGTCTAAAACCGCTTTTGACCTAAAGGGACGCTTTTTGTACGCCATGGACTTTTCTGTTTCCAGGCAGAAAGAACAGTAAAAATGCAGGCAGGGCACAGGACAAAGCACTAGGGACAAAATGAATGTGAAATGCTTTTGATACAGTAATGTTTTACTATGTGATTTTAGTGAATGTCACTTTTTGTCATTTTCAAATTTCCCCGCCGTTCATCCCCCGTACATCCCAACGCTCGCAGGGGATGGAACCCAGATGACAGATGCCAGCATCCGCCGGATTACATTGCCGGGGACACTGCAGGAGAGATATCGCAGGAGCGCAGGACAAGGTAAGTGATCGAGGGATCGAGGGATCGCGGAGCAGCGCCGCATGGTAAGCCCGAGTGTAGCTCGGGGTTACTGCTTGTGGTACTGAAACTTTACCCCGAGCTACACTTGGGAAATACCGCCAGGGAGGTTAAGACAATCAGATCAAGCAGTGGTTAGCTGCAAAAACAAGCATATCTTGGCCTTGGAAGCACTGTTCGCACACAGAATTTTCAACCTACTTGAACTTTTTCCATGACCAGTGGCAGGTCAATGTTGTTCACTGTCTATATGCTTTTGCCTTTGAAGAGTGAAAATAGTTATCAGACAACAGTTTTTCCAACTCATTTGGTTGATCCTGTCCCTTCAGGACAGTTGGATAGATTGCAGATGGCTGGGTGACAAAGCCAAAAGTATCTGCGTTAAAGCGAAGTTCCAAAATTGGAAGCTCCGTTTGCCTCCTCCACCCCTCTGCTTCCACATTTGGCACCTTTTGGGGGGGAGTGGGTACCTGGTTTAAAACATGTACCCCACTCCCACATCTGGCTCAGTTTGCCACGGAAAACTGATCTGGAAGTTCGCCCCCTTCCCATAGGGCTGCAGCCC